GAATTGTTGGCCGAGAATGAGCTCGAGTTGGAACTGCTGGGCAGAGACCCGGATACTATTCAGCGGATTCTGGAAAAGTTTACCGAAAAGTTTGACTGTATATACAATCGCCGACAATCGCAATACTCCCGGTATTTCGAGGCGTTGAAGAATATTTTAGTCCAATTATACCGGAATCAACTGAAATGGATTCAAATTCACGCCACTAATGACAGCCCTAGTGATGATGGCCTACCGGCACTGGTAGCCCAAGAGTCGAGTGATATTACTGATACTGAACCGGATATACCTAATAATTATAGTCAAGAATATTCTGTTTATAATAAGACTAGTGATGAGTTTGAAAGTAAGGACGAAATGTCTGTCCCGAGCGTGGAGTCCGTGGAAAGTGAGACACAATTTCTAAATAATGTTTCGTTCGATGACTTCGATATCGAAACTCTAAACTATATTCTTATGTCGAAATCGCCGTTTGATATGAGTTTGAAATCTAATCTCGAAGTCGTTAATGAAGAGGAAGAGGAGGAAGAAGTGGAGGAATCTGTCGCTGAAGTCACAGAAGAATCAGTGGAGGAATCGTTAGATTATTGCGAAGTGTCTGAAGAATATTCTGATGATAACAGCGATAATAAAGACGATAATAAAAGTGAAAATTTAATTGATTTCGATGTAAGCATTGCTATCGATATTGACGTGGAATTAGTTGTGGAAAACCTGTTGATTGAAATGTTAGACTCAATCGAAAGGAATTTGATTAAAGAATATTCTGTTAATAATGTAATCGATGAGAATTTAATTAGCAATGATAAATATTTAAATAATAATAATGAGATTAATTTATCTGTTAATCAATACATGAATAGTAATGTAAATAATGTATTGACTGTTGTTTGCGATGAAAAACAGCATAATATTGACTCGGATTTTGTGTCCGAAGACGTGAGTTCGAGTCCCGACACTGTCCGCACTATTAGTGAACATCATGATGATGAACATCAGCCGGATAATATAAATGAGGTGTTTATTAATTTCTTATTTTGATACAAAATTGATACATTAGTTTACGTAATGCATTATTAGTTTTAATACATGTGCTATCGTCTCCAATAAATATTTTATCTATAGATGATGGCCGCCAATGATGAGACAAAACCACACGAAAACAGTAGACAATCAGAATCTGATTCTGAAAGTAATACCTCAATGGATAGCCAACAGAATGATAGGACATCGACTGGTCATTGGAGGAAATACACTACAAAAGAGCAATACCTGAGCGACGAGTTGAGGGCC